TTTGCTATTGATATTTTTAGTTTATAAGAAAAAACATCACAGACAAATCCAATACAAGTAATTGTCTAAGTATTGAAATGTATTTAACAAATTTGTTTTGGTTCACTTTTCTTTTTTCGTCATAGATTTGTAATACTTCTTTATTAAACATATTTTTTTAAGAAAAATAAAAAAAAAGTATCATAAAGGATATGTACAAATTCATTTATTTCTGTTAAGTAACTCTTCGGGTAATGAAATGATACGAGCAAGTCGTGAATTAGATGGAAGAAATAAATATATATCATCTCCCATAGATGGTAAAATCCATTGTAAACAGTTTGCAAAATATGTTTTTATTGATGGTGTTAGGTATACGTTTGGTGTTAGATTTGAAGTTTCGTCAAATGGATTTTCTATAGTTAACATACAAGGCCTTTTTGAGTCGAGCCATCCCCTAGAAGCCTTCTCGAAATATGAACATTCAACACCAACACTTATTCCATATTTTGAGTAATTAAAGTCATAGCCAAAGTGTTGAAGAAAAGTAATAAATACACTACCTATATCGTTATCTGGAATACCACCAGTAATATTTCCAGTATTATACATTTCTAGAAATGAATATACAAGTAGAGTTATCATAAATGTATTTAATCCACCATTCATAACTGATGTAAATCCTGCTTGGTGTAATAAATATCGAATAAGAATAACAAGGGGCCTTAACATTGAGTTTTTATGACATAATCTTCCTATAAGTTTTGTAGTTTCAATTCCATTTTGGTTATCTATTGAGATATCTATATTAATTTCATCTTGAATTCCTTTCATTTTTAATAATGGAATTCGTGCTAATGGAAGTGATAATACTTCATTACATATACAAGCATTTGCCAATGCATCAGATATAAATTGAAAAGCTATTGTAGAGTTAACATTAATAAATTCACCACTAAGAGATATATCAATGTCACTAAATGGTAATGCCAAATTTGATTTTTCACTTCCGTATAATGTTACACATGATGGTGTTTGTGGTGAAATAAAACTTACTTTTGGTTTTCCATTCTTACTAATTATTTTTAAAGAATCTATAACTTTAGTTACTTGTTTAATAAGTTGTTTTCTTTTATCTTTTTCTGAAGGGTTAAGTTGAATAAATTTAATAAAATGAATAATGTCACTTCCCAATGATATTTTGTGATTAACAGGAATTTGCATAAGCCAAGGTGGTGTTGATCCAAATAGTGGTGATGGCAATTCACGAAAACGACCAAAGGCATAGTCGTTGATTTGAGGTGTTATTGGAATAAACATTAACAAATGATTTTTATTGGAAAATTTTGTTTTTCTTTTTTTTTTTTTTTAAGTGTTACTTTTTTTTTTAATGTTCCTTATTAGAAAGTGGTAGCATCTTCTTCTTTCTTTCATTGGAAATTTATATCTTCTTTACTTTATCCATCTATTACCATTCGACAAAATATATAGACTAATTAATATAAATGAAATTCCAACTCAAGGATATGAAAATGAAGGATATAGTAAGCCTTTTTTTGAAATAATGCAATTTAATGATGAACAATTAGAATACATACCACCCATAAAATTTAAAACACTATAAATCTTTATCATAGCTGGATTAAACAATAAGAATGTGTTGGTCTTAAATTTGATATACAGAAAACCTTCCCACAAAGGCAGAAAATATTAGAAAAACTTATAATCCTTTAGAGATAACACCACCTAAATCTAAAATGTGTCCTGATGGCATTGGTGTTGTGTGGTTGTGGGGGGGGGGGGCAAATGAGAGTGATCTACACTGGCTGAGTAGTATTATTAAACAAAGTAAAGACGTGGGATATGACACATATAGAGAATTAAATACATAATGTATTCAGTAAGAAGTGTTTATATGCGTGTTCCTTATATTAAACATTATTGCATCACACATAAAACTAAATTTTTTTATGGCTTAATTTGTCATACATAATAGGGGTAGGTTATAGCCTTTAAATAATTAGTCACAATGATTTATTTCTAGACAAAAGTGTATTACCGACATTTAATTCAAACTCACTAGAAACAGTTGTTCATCTAATACTAACGTTGTCAAAAGGTTTTCTTTATTTAAATGATGTTATGTTTATTAGTTCATATACAAAACCTACACAATGGATGTCATTAACAGATAAGTTAAAATAATATCTTTACTCATTAAAATTTCCTTTAAAGAGAGAACAGTAATAAGTAATTTGGATAGAACACTAACATATACTAATGATTTGATAAACAAAAAATATTTTCAAGGAAACAAAAAATTAGAAATTATCCATTACGTCATTGTTATTTCTTTAGAAAAGATCTTTTAAAAGGGTTTGAAGAGATATTGTCTCAAGAATATAATATTACTAGTTTTAATAAATTTAGAAAAGACAATGATGTTGCAATTACATTTTTACATATTTTGATGAAAGTCCTTAAACATGAAGCCACGAGAATTAAAGAGACAAAGAGTTATTATTATGGTGTTTGGAAAACAATAATTCTCTCAACCAAGAAACTATTAAAAATATAAGTTCTTTAAAACTAACGTGTTTTTGTATTAGTGATAACTTATATTTAGGTCTTTGATCAAAAGTACCTCTTATTGTTAATTATTTAACAAAAGTACATCAGCAACTTTATCCTTACCTAACTCCATTTGAACTTCATAACTATTTGTTTTATGTTAATGATAAACTTTCATTTTCTTTATTAGACGATTATATTAAGAAAAAGGATACAAAATCAAATAACCTACATATTTGAAAATGAGTACAAACAAATTACTTTGAAAAACTATAGTTATAAAAAACTCAATAACAATGTTCTATTTTAATTCCATTAATTGAGTAATAACCAAAAACATCACTAGTGGAAACAAAAGAGCAAACAAAAGTTTTCCATAGAACTTTATGAGAGGAAGGTTATCTTGGGATGTTGTTGGTTTTTCAGTTTTGGTTGGTTGGTTTTTGTTCTTATTAACTCTTATAACTTGTTCTAACAAAACTCGACTCTTACAAATTGGACAATTTGGTACTCTCACCAACCATTCTTTAATGCACTGGTAACAAAACGCATGGCCACATGGAGTGATGGTACAATCTACAATGTCACTATAACAAATACAACACTTATTATTCATTTAATACTATTTTTTAGTTCTTTTTTAATTTAATTAAAAAATTTTATAGTATTTCAACAATAATTCAATAGAAATAAACAATATCATAATGGAAATAAATATAATAATAAAACATAAAGAAGATTAATGAAATCAAAACAAAGAACAAAAAAGAAATAAAAGAAATGATAGAAGCAATAAAAGAGAATCAAGTTGAATAATTAAAAGAATGAAGAAAGCAATTTGGTAAGAAGATTAATTTTAATGGTTTAACGAATATAATACAAGTAAATGAAAGAAAACATGATAGAGTGATAGTATTTGAATTTGCAACAAATGAAATAAATGACATTTAAATGAATGGAAAGAAATGTGTTGAATAGTTAAGAAGTGAAATGGCATATTTATTCATACAAAATTATCAGTAGTTGCACGGAAATCATTAAATATAAAAAGAAATGAATTCGTCCAAGTAATAAATATGTAAGAATGATTATTTATGAATTTAAAATATTAAATCTAAAATACTTCATATTGATATATTAAAATATTATAAAAATTTTTATAACATTATTCTATCTATTGTTCGTATATTGTTATAATGTAATGATAAAAATAAAATATCAAAACATGATTATGTGTGTAAACAAATAAATAAACTCATATTAATTACATACTTTAATGAATTTAATTCATTTGATTTTGGTGTCTCCCATATGTATTAGTAATGATGAAATGATTATAACTTAGAATAAAGATTTATTAGTTAACGACCATTCTTTTAATGCTAGAAGACCGACGTATACTATCAAAAATATGAAAGATAGAAAAGAATATATTAATAGTGTTACTATATGCCAAGAGAGAAATATCGAATTAAAATATATTTACAAAATAATAAATACAAATAATTACAAGAGAAATTAAGACAAAATAAAGAATTATTTATGTAGAAATAATACCTGTAATATTAACAATAAATTAATACATAAAGAAACAGTAAGAAGATTGAAAACACTAAAATTACAAATTGACTTCCCCCAAAATACTACGAACAATCATTATTAAAAACATGAAATACTTAATGTTCTACACATTCAACACTGGCAGTACATTAGAAGAGGAACCTTCTAATGTGAGCATGTCAGAAATAAACTCTATGACAAAAGTAGAGAATATTGAATTCACTGAAATAATCACTTCTCAATAATCATAAAACCCAATTATAGATATATCTACTAAATTTCCCTTTTTTATTGGGAAATCTTATACCTAAAGTTTAAACTAAAACTTATATTTTATCTCATGAAAAAATGATAGTACTTCCTTGTTATGTGTTTCTACTCCTCAGTAAATTTCGTAATAATATACCTATAATAAAGAACCTTCTAAAAAATCTTTCTTTAAGAAGAAAACACAGTTATGGTTATTTTTATATTCATCATTTTATTCATTGATAGATGAGATGTTCATAGTCATTTATTGATTTTATTTTATACTCTTTTTTATTTTCAAATAAACAATATTTAATATTTTCATTTCAATTACAATGATTCGTTGGAGTGTGAAAGAGTCTAGATATTATTTTCTACAAAATGCATTTGATATTTCTTTATATGAAAATGAATGTTGTTTACAATGTTATGTTGTTTTATTCTTTTCTTTACAAATAACAATATACCTCTACCTCCAAATCAGAATAAATAACCATATGAATGATTAAATCATCTAAATGCATACTATAGTTCTTTAATATCAAATTTCATCATTCCTTTTATTCTTCCTTTTGATTTTAATGAAAATAAAAATGATTTTGGATCATTTATAAAATCATCAACTTTATTAATTTTCACATTAATATATCCTCCAAATTTATTTCCATCTTCACCTTCAATAATAATTATTATATGTTCTTTATTTATTATTCTTTGATTAAATATTGGTATTAACATTCCAATCATCATATCTGAATTAAATATAATGTTCTTTATTCCTCTTTCAGTCTATTTTTTTTTCTTATCTTTTCTTTTCTTCCATTTGTACAATTCCCTGAATGTTTTCTATTACAATTTTCCTCCATTCATAATTAATGAAATGTATTTCTTCCCTCTTCTTTATTCTTATTAAACCTTTCTTTAATTCTATTAATTTCTTTTGGTTTTTTATCGTTTTATCTTTCATTATCATTTCTTCTATGTGAATAATTTTATCTATTAGTTTGTTTATTACCTTACCTAACTTTTCTTCAGCACATTCTTCTATTATTTTGTTCATTTGATTCTTTATTATTTCTATTGTTTTATTTGTTTCTTGAATTTTTTTCTATTATTAGTTTTCTTCTTCTTTCTGTTTCATCAATCCTATCAAATATTCCTTCTCCTCTTTTAATAGCTTCTGAAATGTTTCATTTAGTTTTATTTCAAGTATTTCATTTTTAATACATCCTAAATAATAATGATAATGTTTATTAATATCATCAATTGATTGTTGAATATTTGGAAGTGTTTCTATTTCTTCTTTAAAGAATAGAGTGCTCTTATTTATTAACTCTTCCATTTTATTTAAATTAATGAATATCAAATCAAAATAAGATTCATAGATAATTAAATACATGTTTATAACACACTATTTTAATATTATCATTCATTCTTAATGAAAAAAAAATAACACCATTCACTTTATTGATTTTTAAATAATTACGATGTTAAATTTGGTTGTTATAGATTTTTATATCATTCTAATTATATGTCGTTTCCTTTTTAATTAATAAAATATAAAAGACAACCATAATAACAGATAATAAGAATGTATGTTTATTTTTAATAAAGTAAATCAAGAGAATAATAAAAATTATAAAAGTTGTTAATTCATAAAATCAACCGATAAAGACTAAAAAAACAATGAAAAGTATATAATTATCTCTAAGTAAAATGAATAAGAATTTAATTAAGAATATAAACCAATTCAATAATTAACAAAATAATTTATAAAATAATTAAACCTAGATAAAAAAATAAATACAAATGAACTTATAATGAAAATAAGAATACAATTAATTATATCAATTTTCATTATGAATCAATATGCTTAAGAGAATGAAAATCATAATAAATTTACAAAAATAGATAGTGTTAATTGATTAAAATAACAGCTAAACTATAACTATGAATAAAAATTGAATTATATTCTCTAATAATTTAATGGATTGTGTTAATTATTATAAAAATTATCTATAAATGTAATTAGTACAACACTTTATTGTTATTTAATGTATTGTGAGAAAAAATAAGAATTAATATAACAATCATATTCACCAATAAGTTAGAATTATGATCAATCAAATGCAATCTAAGACAATATATTAAAGAAATAAAATAAAAACTTATTCATATTATATACAATGATAAATAATGATAAATTGACATTTTATAGAATAAAATAATTAGATAACACTAAAAATTAATTAAAATATATGTAATTAATATACTACAAAAATGAAATTAAATAATAAAATGATAACTTACAGAAAATAAATATAGTGCAAGAATAAACAGTATGTTATTTAGAAATTTACCATATTAGATAAAAATATATACCTAGAATTATCATAAATTTAAATTATGAAATAAGAAAGTTCAGTGGATATTCTCTAAAACAAAAAAGTAATCAAATATTTGATACAAAAACATTACAATAATAATAGATCAAAAATGATAATCAATATCATGACAAGATATTATATTAAAATAATGGTAATTTGTTGTTATTTGATCGCCAATAATTCAAAATCTAAATAAATATGACAAAAAGAATAAAAAATAGTAATAATAATATTTTAATGTTTTACAAATTATCTATAATAATTAAATATAACAACAGAACTATAGATAAGAAGTTTATTCTTGAAATAACAAAAGAGAATAGAAATAAAGTTTATTGAAACTAAGCTGTTTCATTTTATAATACTAATGATATTTTATATTACTTTAATTAAATTAACTGTGTATTTTATTGTTTAAAAATTACACAGTTATTCTTTTATCTACATCCTCTCTTTATATTTTTTCATATTTGGTTTTTTTTATTAAAAAAATACCTTTACATTATTTTTAAAAGAATAATAATAATAATGAACAAAGAAACTATCAGGAGAAAGTATGAATGAAACAAAATATTTTTAATTTAATTCAATGTTATAGAAAATAACAGATCATCATAAAAAATATATATATAAAAATATCTATCTAATAAACTTTGAACTATTGATTATTCTTTACTATTCTTTATTTTTGAATAGTTTATTGTATGTTTATGTTATATATTAGTTATGTTTATTTTATCTTAATGTTAATTTGTGTATTAATAATCAGAAAAATACAATCTTCTAAATAACTATTAATTAAACTAAAAGGAGATATCTATAATGTTTGAAACAACACTATTATTATCTAAAGAGAAACAATATCCAATAACTTTGTAAGTATCATTGAAAAGAAATTCAATAGATTTTATGGTAATCAAATGACCTTATCT